TCTGGAATGCCAGCAAAGGAAGAGAGAAAGAGAAGAAATATTTGAAGTACCAAAGACACAGAATTTCCACAATTAAGTACCGGCGCCAAAGCATAAGCCCATTTTACACAGAGAGGCCCAAGGATCATACAGGTCAAGACAAAATCCAGGCGTATGATATCCAAACTGCAGGAAGCCAGAGACAAAAGAAAATCTTGCAAGAAGTTAGAGAAAAATTAATCTTAACTACAGAGCAACTAAAGTGTGAATTGCATCAGGTTCTTATCAGAGACCATGGATGCAAGAAAAGTGGAGTGAAATATCTAAACAAGAAAAAAATCAACTTCAGAAATAAAGGAAAAATAAATACTTGTGCCAATAAATAGGAGCTCAGAAACACAGACACAAAGGAGGCAGACAGGGAATTAATAATGACACTGCCGACTTTAATAACTCTATCAGTCAACGTCATGTAGCTGACAGTCACAGAATACCCCATACAAAACACCATTATCCATATTCTCAAACTCGCATAAAACATGCACCAGAGTACATCATCCGCTGGGCCACAGAACACATGGGAACGAATATAAGGGAAATATGTTCTCAGACCACGGCGCAACAGCTAGAATCAGAATGGTTAGACAATTGCTACATATTTGGAGATTAAACAATACTATTCTAAATGTCACACAGTCCTGTTTTGTACCATATAACACAATGTAGAGTGTGACAAAATAAATGAACTAACATTATTACAAGTACATGAAATGGAGAGAGAGATGGAGCGGGGAGATGCTGACTTAAGACCCTGGGAATGAGTCCAGTTCACAAAACTGGGTCAAGAGACACCTCAGGATACTGCAGTTGTTAGAGCTCCAGTGAATAATGGCGTCCCCACCAGCTTACAATGAAGCCGTCTGAATCCATCCTATGTGTGCCTTTGTACTGAGCCATGAGTAAATGGTCCACCAGTTGCCAGACTTCTCACTATCAGGGTGAATGTTTACAGTAAATGACAATCAGAGTCACCCATGTGGTGAGTGATGGATTAGAATCAGAGACATCGGCTGAAATTCATGTTTGGATTCGTACAATCCAAGACAGCTGAACATTCGAATGTTTACAGCAGGCCCTGCATAACACGGGGTATCATACACATCTTCTCTATCATCTCAAGGGCCAGAAACAACAGTATCCTCTCTGCAGTGAGCACAGCTAGGACCCAGACTCTGGCTTCTAAAACCACTGCCCAATAAAATAAACCATGGCTCCTTGGAGAAGTGTCGGATTCAAGTGGCGAAAGTGTACAAGATGAGCCTGAAGCACCCACGATTGCCACAGAGTGAAAGGTGTACCCAGTACACGTGCACACACACACGCACACACATACACATGCTCGCGTGTGCACGAGTGCACTTGCATGTTGACGGAGCGTGCCAAGGTACATGGGAGCCACTGAAGGTTACTCAGTCACCAATGCCGGAATAAGTTTGGCAAAAATAAGAGTGGCAATGGCTCATTTCTCAGTGTCTAAGGAAAAATATCCCTAAGTCCCCGGCTACATTGCTGAATTACTGGTTAAATAAACAAATGTGTGAGAAGAGACAGATCAGAACTCCCATGGAAAAGATACCAAAACTTCTCCTGGATGTCCTGGCCTCAGGGGTGGAGCATCGTCCCTACTCCTTTGGGGTGGGCCGTGCGCAGAAGCTGCCTTCTGGGAGCCTACTGCAGAAAGCAGCGAGACCAACACTGGCTGCAGGGTGGGGAAACCCGAGAAAGTCTTCCTCAGGCCGGGACGCCCCACTGCACCGGCCAGGCAGGAGAGTTGCTAGGAGTGGTGACTCCTTCCGCCCACAGTTGTCCTTTCAAGCAGGCCCACTTACACCTGCCACCTATTGACTGCCCCTGGTTAGCACTGGATGTGTAGGAAGGCCACCTGACCTCTTCACTTCAAAATTCTAACGATAGAGGAGACCCTACTCCAGGGCCACACCTGGGAGCCTTGTCCACACTGGGAACTGGTCGTGGATGCTACAGTTCTGGACTCTGAGCTGATGCTATAGTGGGATGGTTTGGGTAATCTTGAAAGGAAGGGAATAGGCTTCCCACGATGAGTAGACTGTGACAAGCTGCTCCTGACACAGTGCCCGCAACCCCACACTCTTGCTATGCCCACCCTGTGATTGTGTGACCAACCTGACAGCTTTGTCCCAATCCGCACCATCCGGCCGTCACTCACACAACCAGGCCGTACACTGACTCATCCGTGTGTGCACGGTGCCTCGGCTCCTCTGGAGTGCGTGATCTGGCAGACTGGACCACAAGGCGAGGAGATGAAGTAGCTGCTCGCCAGCCTCCGGCCCAGGCCTGAGACCTACTCTGCAAAGCCTGTGAGGAACTGGCACCGGTTACCAGCTTGTGGGTGCATGGGTGCTTCCTCCTAAGGAGCTTCAGCTGCTGACCTCACTGGTGTCCAGTCAGAGACCCTGGGAAAAGGGAACAGAGTTGAGCTGCATCTGGATCCCAGCCCCTCACCGACTGAGAAAAATCAGTGTGCCTTGTTTGTTTAAAAGCTCCGTGTAATGGCTACGTAAGGAGTTTAAAATGATAGAAACATTTTGGAAAACTCCTTGCAGGCTCCTCAAGAGAAGCTGAGCCTGCATCTACCTTAGGACCCACCATTTCTACTCCTAGGTAAGGAGGGAAGAAAGTGAGGGAAGGAAGCACAGGTTCACCAGCAAACCTTGTACACAGACATGCAGAACGGCTTGATCCCTCACACTCCCAAGCTAGAGCTAGCACCTGTGGTCATTAGTGGAGAATAGATAAACAATGGTCCATTCATACAGCAGGATACTACTCAGCACAGACAGAAGGAAGTAGTGAAATATGCAAAACACGACAGACCTCATAGGCACTGTGTTTAATGAAGGGGGTTGAAATGTATAATCTCATTTACATGAAATTCTGGAATAAGCAGAACCAAGATATGATGATAAAATCAAAATAACTGATGCTTATGGGAGGTTACTGGCAAGAAGCCAGAAGCACCCCTCTGACGGTAATGGGGTGTTATGCATCTTAACAGGGGTGTGGGTTATACAAATTATGCAACTGTCAAAGCAGATCTGTTTATTTTATTATATATAAGTTACATTGCAACAAAAAAGCAGAAGGAGATAAAAAAAGGCAAGGAAAAAAGAGAGAATCCCTCAATCCACTATGTAGGAATCTTTAGGAGTGAAATGATTCATGTCATGAAAAAAATATTGTTATTCTCCTAAAATCATGGATTATGCCACAGTCCAACATATCTTTGTGAGAGTGGCGTAAGATCGATCAGATACCTATGGCATCTTTCTCATCTTTTTCTTTGTAAAGTTCTGAAGCTTGATTAATAAAATATATATCTGGGGCCAGGGATATAGCTCGGTGGCATAAGCACCTGCCTGGCAAGTGCAAGGTCCTGAGTTCAATTTCTGGTACCAGAAAACCCAAATCAAACTAATAAAATATATATCCTAACACAAAAGTGAACCATCTAGCTTGGAGGGCCTGGTGAGCCTCTCAGGGCCGCTGACAGCCACGTGGTTGGGTCATTCTCCAGTGCCTGTCGCTTGGTGCCATGGAGCTTGTAGGCTAGCGTAGGGGAGGGGAGACACACAGGTGACCGCACAGATGGGTGCACAGCGGCAGATGTGAACCATGGGCAGCAGCTATGACTTCATGGGAGGTGCTACATTTATTCCAGACCGCTAGAAATACCAACACCTCCCATTTATAAGCACCGCTCCTATGCCAAGAACCTTCCATACGCCAATATTTCTGAGCCTCAGCTTTGTAAGTTGGAAAAGCAGTTATAATCCCTTCCTCACAGAAGGGAGAATCAATGAGAGAAATAACGTGCCCAGAGACGGGCACCAGGAAGTGGCACAGCCAATTGATATTCTAACCAATATCTGACCTCACGTCCTGATGCCTTCATCCTCAACGTAGAAATGTGGAATTGCCTTTGGACTTCAGCGGCAAAAGTGACCTAACCCAATCACTCACCCTACAGAACCGGCAGTATTCCAACTTGGAGCTGGGATCATTCAAGAAATGACAGTGGGCACTGGCAAACAACTGAAGCATCAGAAGAACTCTTGTTTCTCCTCTCGAAGGGGCTTCTTATAGGATGTGCTTTTATCACCAGGCTCGGTGCCTACAGGGGCCAGGGCACCTCTGGTCCTCAGCCATGGGTCAACTCCTCCCCGCACTTTATACCCAACAAAACTAAGGGTTTGGCGTTGGAGAATAAAGGTTGAATGTGTGTCTTGATTTTCCACGCAGCCCGTCCAAACTCGACAATCTCTGCCTGGAAAATAATCTAGAACAAAAATTATCCTTTTGCTCCTTTATACGGTTGTACCCCAACAGGCTCTGGGTGGCCTGCGCAGAGCTGTGATGTCAAAATGTTGCCCCGCAGGCTGTCCGAAGTGCTTGCTCTTTCCTGATTTGTTGTCTTAGCTCCTTCCACCTGTGTCCAAAAGCTGCCTAGTGAGGCCAGGACTTCAGAGATGCTAAGAGAAAGAGAGAAATTCCAAGACGAGGGGGGCGGAGCGGGACGAGGAGCTGCAGACTATTCGGCCCAGTCAAGGAGACCGGTCAGTCCCCCAAAGGGAGCTGCCCTGGTCCCCCGCGCTCCCGGCTTCAGGACGCCTCCCTCCCCGAGCGGCAGCCTGTGGGCCTGCGCTCACCGTCCCGGGCCACCCCAGCTCTCCCCTCCTCCGCTTTCTCGCCTCGCTGTGCGTGGTTCCTGGCAGAGCCGCGCATGCCACCTCTCGACCATCCTGAGGCTGGGCGACTGGAGCCCCGAGCTGGAGCTGCAGGCAGGAGCGGCGCCAGCCCCTCGGAGTCGCCCTCCCCAGTCCACCCCTGCGAGGCGGGAGGGGCCGGGCCCGCACCGCGTGCGCTCCAGCCCGGCTCGGGGGTGTGGAGGGGCGGGCGCGGGAGCAGAGCTGGGCTCGCGTGCGCGCGGCTCGGGCTCCGCAGGGAAGAGCCGGGTCGCGCATCCCGGCTCCCCACACACCTCCTCCGCCCCCTCCTCCGATCTCCCGGATTCGCCCAGCCTCTGGGTCCGTGCGCTGCGCCGGCTCCGGGGAGGCGGCCCTGAGCTGGACGCCCTCGAAGCCGCAGGCGCCGGCTCGGGTCGCTCCGCCGTCCGAGCGGCCGTGACTCCTTCTCCGGCTCTGGGCTGCGGCTCTCGGCGTCCCCGGGAGAGGAGCCCTGCAGATACCCGCGCCCCTCGCCGGCTCGCTCGCTCGCGCCGGGGGACCGCGCCGGCCGGCGAGGACCCTCGCACCTCCCGGGGGCGCGCGCTGCGGCCGCCGCCTCCCCGCGCCCGGCAAGTTTCACCGCTAGAGGATCCGGAACTTCCAACTTCGTGTGGACATGAATCAAACAGCTGGAGCCTCCAACAACGTCAGGTGCCCCCCAGGGAAAAGCCACAAGGTAAGGGACCCGCGACGGCGACGCAGGGGGCTCGGGCGCGAGCCGGGGGAGCGAGCTGCGCCTCCAGCTTGGCGGCCAGTGGTGACTCGGGCTGGTGTGTGACCTGTGATCAGGGCAGCAGCCTAGCGGATCCCTCAGCCCTAGCGCGGTCCTTTCCTCCCAGGGGCGGGGTTTGCGAGCAGGGGTGACATTTGGTAGACCCCAAACGCGCGCGCGCAGGCCGGGCACCTGCCCTGGGCTACCTGGGGGCTGGAGAACCTGCAGGGCTCGGCGCCAGTTCTGGGGGCGCAGCCGCTCCCCCGCTGGCCGGCTCTCGGGGAGGAGAGCTCTGCAGTGGGAGGAACCTGCCCCCTCGTCAGACCCCTGGGCGAGCTTGCGGAGAAGGCGGCTTCCCAGGCAGCGCGCTGGGCTCCCGCCGGCACCGCTTAGCATTGGTGTCCGGGACGCGCACTTCATTAACTTTAATGGATCCACGCGTGCCTGGAATTATTTCCAGGAAATCAGCGAGTTTCCCAGAAAGGCGGGCGGTGAATGGCCGGAGGAATTCAAGCAGATCCGCTCTAGTAGCCAGAATGTGCAGGGGCAGGATCGGAAAGGGTTACTCCGAGTGCAGAAGGAGAACCCTTCCCGCACCGCCCTGTGCGTTGCGCAGGCCGAGCCCACACCCTGACCAAGCCCGGGACTCCTCTCCACTTATTTGTGGTTCCGCTTTGGATGTGGTTCGCAGAAAGGAAATTCCTTACCTGGGTCACACAGGAAAACCGCGCAGTGATATATGGATCAATGTGCTTTTGAAACATCGTATAGTGTCTGCATTAATTTGCTTCAAATCTGAACGAGAGCAAGTTCTTTGGCGCTTAGTAGTTGGTGCGAAGCCTGAATCTATCTCCTTCATCTGTGCTTGCTAGACCTATTTTTGCATGTGTATTTTATACGCATATGTTTTTTAGCAAATTAGAAAGCTGCTGCCCTTCATATCTACTTGTTGGGCTTGGGGATCTCGTGTGAAATGGGAGATTGGATGAAGATACTGGATTTGGTGGATGGATAAATGCTTGGCGTGTTATGTAAGACCAACATTTAGGGCTGAGTAGTTTTATTTCAACTCTTCCCTTTTTAGATCTGGGTGAAATATTTGCTTCGGTAAATCATCTCTCTGATCTTTAGTCTCATTAACTATCATCCTAGTAGTTCCATGTTTCACACTTACTTTATTTAATATGCATAGGAAATGTCTTTCTAGTACCTAGCAGCTGACATTGTAAGATTTTAAATTAAAAATAATAAAGTTTCACACATCAGTGATTATGTAGTGGAGAGGTCTGTGGAGTTCAGAAGATCATTCAGTAATTTCTTTTAAAAAATGCCTTTGGCTCCAGCGGTAAAGTGGTTTTTTGGCAGAATTGGACTGCAGGGTGCTGACACTGATAAAACTTTCTGGGAAGCACTGGAACACACACCAACAGTGTGGACGCTACTGGAGAACCCATTGGTCGCTAGCAGAGGTAACCCCATGCGTGTGTCGAGCGTCCAACCAGTACTTGGTTCACTGACTCACATCCATGCAATAAACAGTGAGCATCAAGCATTCATTTGACACGTGAACACCTGTTAAGTTCCGAGAACTGAGAACCCCAGTGAGAATTCACATGTTGCTTTCAGTCTAATGCAGCCTTGCTTGCAGCCTGCTCTTCTTTTTTCTTTAAAACCGATAGAGGCTCATGCTGCTGAAGGGGAGCCCACGGCTGGACATGAGCTCAGAGCAAAGCAACACCAATTCCTTTTCTCAAAGCGGAATCCACCGAAGTCGTTTCCTTCAGAGTTGGTGGTGCCTCTCGAAAGGTGTTGCTGTGAGAGAGCCGTCGTGGAGAGTGACAAGATGGGAGATGGCGCTCCTGGGTGTCCTGTATGGAGGAGGGAGAGGCAGGCCACGGAGCACTGACAATCTGCGAAGTACTAGACACCTCACACAAGATTTAGGTTTCGCCATTTTCACCCCATCCCCTGCACTAGGACAGAATCCAGGACCTCTGCATGGAACTACATCCCTAGCCATTTTTAAAATTTTGAGACAAGTTCTCTTTAAGCTGCTAAAACTCCCAGGTTGGGCTCAAACTTGGGATCTTCCTGCCTCAGCCTCCTAGAGTGCTGGCATTACAGGCATGGATGATCACAGTGGCTTCAACATTTTAAAAAATAAAACTCAATAATATTGGTTGATTTTCCTCGGTACTTGAAAGAAGTTTGTTTCCGTTTCGTGTGCTACTCGGAGGCTCATCTTGGGAGACTTCCCTGGGGGAAAAGGCTGTGACCACTACCAAAATGTGCCAGCTGGGCTCCCTTTGACTCATCTCACTCATCCACCGCTTGCTGCTAGCACAGTTTAACCGGGTCATGTCATTATGATTTGTTCTTGTGCAGACAGGTCTTGAGGAGCAGGGTGATTGCTCAGCGAGTGAGTCCAGCCTTGTGTTGCTTAACGTTAGATGCATTCACAGCTAGTGAAACCCAGAACTGAGGAACACAACTCCTGTTGTAGCTTCTTTGCTTCTGCATGTGGGACAAACAGCCATCTGCTGAGGGCTGCAGAGGTAATCAACCACACACAGCGTCAACTCTGACACAGGCAGGACTCCCTCCTGAAAGAAAGCTCCAGGCGTCGTGGTCACATGGGGCTGGGAAGTGAAAGGTCTCCTTGTGGGAGCGAGTGGTCCTGCCTAGGTGGTCTTGATTTGGTGCTGGGCATCACAGTGACTAGTCTCACCAAGTGCCACTCACCAGCCAGAGCTGTTCTACAAAGAGTTGAGGATGACCTAGGTGCAGGGTGCTGGTCATGGTCTGATGCACTCCCTACATCGTAGTTGCCTCATGGCAACTTGATCTTGGGCAAGGAATACAGGCTTGAGTTTTGCAAAGCAGCGTAGAGTACAAGAGACAAAAGAGTGCGCAACTTCGATTGCATGACCACACTGGCCTTCTGGGCAGAAAGTAAAGTTGCCCACACAAAACAACTCCACTAACAGAGGGCTCTTCTTTCAGCCTCTGGCTTGGAGAGAAAGCAAAGGCTCGAGCTAAGTCTCTTTCCTTTGAGTTTTTCTGAAAGAGAAACTTCCATGCCATAACTTAATGGTCTACACTACCTTCAGTAAGCTGAGATGATCAGTTCTCCATCTGTGCAACAGCAGAGGTGGTTGTCTGAATCATGGGCTTTGAGACTCAGCTGTACCAGTGACATTTTGGGTAGATTACTTAACTTTGGTGTCCAAGTTTTATAAGACCTTCATTACAGGGTCTTGTAAGGGTTCAATAAGCTATTCTGTTTGGGGATGGTACACAGGGACACGTGCTGCTTTACCTTGGAGCATCCAACCAGGGAGGGTAGGGCAGATTCCTCTGAGCCCTTTCATGAACACGGCCTGATCTGTTCAAGGGTTTCTATAACAGCTACTTTTTAGATGGTCAGCTCTTCCATAACAGGTTCCAGAGAACATGGCAGGGGGCATATTCCTTACAAATGTGGGCTTCTCTCTGAGATGGATGGTAAGATGCTAAGATTCTGTAAGGAGAAAGTAGCAGAAATAACACATAGGACCTGATTTGATGTCTCTTTTTAAGTCTGGGGAAAAAAAGGAAAATCATGCATGTATCACCTCTTTGCAACATTAAAACGATTCCTGAAAAAGAGTGTGTTTTCACATAGTCAGCAACCTATGCATGATAAGTCTTTGTACCAAGGGTGAACATAGGTCTCAGAGGTACAGAAAAAGTGCAGGGTATAGATATACACTAAATATTTATAAAACAAAGAGATATTTCTATTGCTTATATTGTAATTCCAGATCTCATTTCATCTAAAATTCTTCACACTCTCTGATATTGTGCTCATACTTTATGCATGCTTTCTGTCTTCTCTGTCTACTTTTCAGATTGCTTCCTTATCTTTGGTATTCCATATTTGGCTGGTATGTGACCAGCCATTTTTGGGGATTCTGTACCATCTTTTTTGTCTGGTACTAGCGATTGAACCTAGGGCCTGAGATACATCCTCAGCCTTCATTTATTTATATATATATATTTAGATACTAGAGCTACTACATTGCCCAGGCTGGGCTTGAATTTTCTATCCCTCTGCTTTGGCTTGCTAGCATGCTGGGGTTACAGATGTGCACCATCACTCTTGGTCACAATTTCTTTTAACATATTTTTCTTTCCCATCATTTTCTTTGTTGGGGTGGTGGCTATATATACATCCTACAAGATTTATATTGTTTTGCTGATGCATTCCTCATTTAAACCATTTTATACTGATGTTCAAGGTAGCAGATCTCACAAACACATTTTCCAGTTTGTGAGATCCCTTTCCTAGCCAGTTTGCCGATGAGGTCCATTAATTAATTTGTTGAGCTTGGGCAAAAATCTGGTCAGTTCAGAAGTGTACAGTTGAAGAACAGCTGCCTGACAGTAAAGATCAGAATGCTTCCTTCTCTGTGTAAAGGTTGATGTTTAACATTACATTTGTGGTTCCCATTCTATCCTCTCCTTGTCATCAATGAGAAAAAGAACTGCGTTTCCCTGAAAAGAAGGCCTAGCTGGAAAATAACCAGCAGTGAAAACTAGAGATCAAAAATGCCAGCCCCAATCAGCTTGTCCTTGCCTCACCTGCCACCACTGTTTTTTATTTTTTTTTTCTCCTCGATGACTGCTCTGTAAACTCAGCATTCAAGGCTGAGAATCAGAAATTTTGCAGAGCTGATGGACTGTGGTCCCAGAATTAGTGGCATCAGGTTTCTATTACAATTGAAGAATTTACCCTTTATTTTCCCAAGTGTTTAGTTCAAACTTAATGTTATTCGGTACCCAAATGCCCCATCCAGGGCAGAATAGCCACAAGTCTCTTCCTCCAAGATGACTTGAATCTCCTCTGCACATCAGCACTTAGTTTTCTTTGTGAACATCTCCATCTAGTTAATCACTGTCAAACACTGTAGCTTCCTCCTCCG